TTACTTTACCCTGGAGGAAGCATGGGTATTTTAATTTTTCACCTATATTCACAGCATTTTTGTTTTGTTTTGTTTTGCCTGTCACTCTTAACTAGAATGTAAGTAGCCTGATGACAGAAGCCCCTCCCACCCTGCCCTCTGTCATAGCACCAGTGGGGTTCAGGTGTTCCCAGATGGTATGCCTAAACAGTTTACAAACACAGCTTCATGTCTTACCCAGATGTGTTCATTTATATTTTAAATCACAAGAAGGAATAAGTGATCTCCTTTTAAACTGCTTTCCTTGGGTAACATAGATGAATCTCCAAAAGGAAGCATTTCCATTCTTGCCAAGAAACAGTTCATTAGGGCACACACTTGTTACCAAGACTGGCCTTCAAATTTGATGTAAAAGCTGAACTACACCTTTGTAGTTAGTTCTGAAACTGTCCTCAAAGTAAAGTAACTAAGATTGTTCTTTCTTACCTGTTGCTTTAAATATAAATTAAGGAGAATATGATGTTTTTTAATACTACTAGAAAAAAATACTGGAAGCACTAGCTTTAGCATTCAGAGCCTGATAGACGTTCATAGGATATTAAGATTCAAAAGAGTTTTCATGGGGCAATCACACCGTTATTAACTGGGAATCAGCAGTTGAATTGAATACTTTAAACTAATACTATGCCTGAAATAAAATGTGCATTAACTTGTCCTGGTTAAAAGCTGGCATGCATGACTCTTACTCCCTAAATCACATATGCTGCAATTACTCTACAATCTAGTCCTAGGAAAAGATATGGTGATCTTTAAATGACTAACTTTCTATTATTAGTAGGCATTTGGCTTCATATTGCAAACTGCTTCTGTGTTTGGCAAGTGTAGCAGATTTTTGAAGTACAAACTATTAGAACTATTTTCATTTCACTTATCACTTTAAAGTATCAAAACTCCTCTCTCTCTCTCTCTCTCTCTCTCTCTCTCTCTCTCAATTTAGTTGGGAAATTTTGAATATTCTCCAGTATGTTTCTGCAACTATTAGTAATACTCATTGTATAATGAAAATACTTCTCCGTAAAAAGGAAGAAATGGATCCAAGCCTACCTTTAGAGTTTTCCCATTTTAGAAGATTTTCCTGACACTTATAGTAAGGTTTTGTTAACTTTGGAGCATTTTAAGTAACCATAAAAGTCAATTGGCACTGTGTCACAGTGTCTGCTGTAATGGGTGAATGCTTGCAGAAAGACAGGGATGCTGGTCCCCACCTAAAGCAGTGGTTCTCAACGTGTGGTGCTCAACCCCTTCAAGGGTCAAAAAAATCTTTCACAGGGGCATTAGACTCTCTGTATATCAGATATTTACATTATGATTCATAACAGAAAAACTACAGTTATGAAGTAGTAACAAAAATAATTTTATGCTTGGGGGTCACCACAACATGAGGAACTGTATTATAGGGTTGCAACATTAGGAAGGTTGAGAATCACTGACCTATGACTTTGTAGGGCTCTACAAACTACTGGGGAAGCCTCATAAGGAACATACTGGCAACAAGTTAGAAGAGGTCACTAGAATTCAAGAATTAAGTGCACTGTAGGTTAGCATTAGGCTAGCTCTGCATCCTACATCTAACAGAGGACCTGCTTGTAGTAGATACAGAAAAAAGGAAGAAGAATACAGATGAAGGAAATATTAACTGCCTGGGCCCCCCAAACGAGAAGTGAATGGTTTCTTTTCCTCATATTCTACTTGTACATGGTATTCCTCCCCACATTCAAATTGGCAGTTTTGCTTATCATATGACCACTTGAGGAGGACACAGACCACTTAGGAGATATGGTGCACACATAGAGAGCTCGTAAAAGAATTGCCTCTGTTTCCTAAATCTTTGTTCCTCTGCTGAAAGGTTGAAGACAGTAGCAATACCACCAAAGAGCACAGTTTATACTCTCTCTCCACACAATTTTCCCAATAGAAATCCCATTCACATAGTCTTGGGAGAGAATACAAAATTGCATTCAAGGCTCTATAAACTTGTTGGAGCTTCTCTCCAGAGATAAGCTGGGAGCAGTTTGAGGAAAATCAAATATATATGAAGAGACATAAAGTATGTGCAATTAGTTTCACACCTCAACAAAACAATGTCTTTATGGGGGAGACAATGCTAAATGATAGTTTAAAAAAATCTTTAGGAGCTTGTCAGGAAAAACAAGTAAACAGGAAAGATGGTAAAATTACTGGGAAGCGTGAACTTCCTGCTGCAAGCATGCTAACCCTGAGTGGCAAGCCACTTTTGTTAGAAACAACCTATTCCTATTCCTAGAATCTAAGCAATGTTCTGTAACTGTGTTTAATCTCACTTCACAAACAACATAACAGAACTCCAAATAATAATTTGTATAAATCTAAATTTTAAGTAAGGTTTTACAACTGGATAATTTTGCAGTTACAATACTGCTGCAACCAGCTTCAAACCTTTGTGTTTTACAGAAATATGGATGGGTTGTCTTTCACTAAATAAAAATAAAAGTCATTACTTCACCACTGATTTAATTTCAGGTGATTAACTTTAATTTGATGAAAAGCAATATTTGTGAAGTTGCCATTCTTAAGGCACAGGTAATTCAGTGCTAATTAATGCCAGCAGCCCCATCTCCTTGGCAACTATGCATATCATTATTAATTTGCTCATTCTTTAGGTTTTATTGGGTGACTATTGTATGCAAGGTATTCTGCTATATGTAGAGACTGTGAACTATGTAGTTGTAAGGCTTGAAAATATCTGAAGTGATATTTGCATCGGCTTCCCACTATAAACTGTTCATACACATCCATTTTATTTGCTAGTCCTTGAAAAGCTTGTGCCTTTTCTCTCTTAAAAGGAGGGAGGTGGCAAGTTTGGCCCCTGGGCACCTAATCTAAAATCTCAGTTGGTGGTCTTGTGACTCTCAAAGCTTGAGACAGGGATATATAACCCAGCATTCCTAGGAGTCCACCCATCCCCCTCCTTATCCAAATAGTCTCATTCCTAAATCCACTAGGAAGCCTGAGACAGGGATATATAACCCAGCATTCCTAGGAGTCCACCCATCCCCCTCCTATAGTCTCATTCCTAAATCCACTAGGAAGCCTGGTTTAGTCCAGAATCTGGCTTGGTTTGCAAGCTGTGAGAACCTCAGTACGGGATGCCAGATCCACTGAGACTAGGGGCTGAAGCCAACCAACGTCCTGGGAAACAAAAAGATCTGCATGTCCAGACACTAAAGCCAAGAAGCGATAGCTGGGAGAGATCTTGCACATTATCCAGCTCCGCGGCTGCCCTCTTTTTACAGATGATGAAAATGAGACCCAGGGAGGTAGAGATTTGCACATAGAAATCCCTGGTAACCAGGAGCTAAGATCTAAACACAGCTTTGTATCAAAGATGGTATCTGACCCACTGCTCAACCCCACGACTAAATAATTCTTATGGAGCAGACGTCCAAACAGGGCTGGGTGGGAGAGAGGGAGTGCTGGTGCTAATTACTGGTACCACACCAGCTGTCCTGCCCACTAGGCATAACAATTACCACCACAAGCCTGAGAGCGGGAGCCTAATAAAAATACTAGGCAATGTAATAATTCTGATGATAGAAACTAGTAATAAGCCACTAGAATTCCACCAGCACTTTCTCTATAGTATCAAGTCTGTGTATGTAACCCCAACAACAACAAAAAATACAAAACGCCCTTGGCGCAGCTCAAGGAAGAGCCTGACTCTCCAGGGGGAAACTAGATCCATGCTTCTCACTGCTGCAGTCTGAGCATCTGGCACCGACCGTGAGAGGCGCCGGTACGAGACTTCTCTCTAGCCTTTGTGCCGGGGGCTGCCTCAGGAGACCTTGTGACTCTGGCCCCTTCCTACCGCTATCTAATCCCCCAGGTCCCTCCGAGGTTCCAGCCCGGGGTGTGGGAAGCTCGCTGAAGCTCCACTAGGCCACTCCCAGCTGAGCGCGGCTCCACCTCAGGCCACCCCGCCTGCCAGCAACCCTGCATGTTGGCGCTTGTGCGCTCCCCCTTGCCAGTTTCGCCCGAATGTGTCTGGCAGCCCAGTTCCCCATGCGCACCGGCCTTTCCCCTCCCTTCCCGGTAGCTGCTCTTCCTCCGGAGAAGGTATGGTCTTTCCAAACAGCATGCCTTCTCCCGGGGCTCTTCTGCCCCGGCTTGCTAGAGCTTGGGTACCAGGAGTTGCTTAGTACTGTCCTTACTGTCTCTGCCCCGCACTGCTCCGGGGCGCCAGCCTTCCCACCCGCGAGGATCTGTCTTCCCCACCATAGTGCCACGTAGATGGGTGGGCGCGTGGGAAGGCAATAACCTGGCCTTGAACCCTAGACCTTTCGACAGAACCCACCACGGCGCCAATAATTCAAGTAGACAGGAAGGTCAAAGGCGAACGGTGCTGCCTGCGGCCCTGCAGGCGGGCGAGACCGAAGCAGTGGGGGTAGGGAGTGGCATGCTCCGAGAGCTGGCACGGAATGCTCCCCGGGCAGCCGCAGAAGCGGCTCTGCGCCGGTGGCACGGAGGCTGCGGGGGGGGGGGGGCCGCGGGGGGCGGTTCACCCTTCTCCCCCAGCAAGGAACCGGGTGGCTTCGGGGATCTTCTCCCAGTTCAGCCTGACCCCCTGCCCCGCGACCAGATGGCTGGTGACCCCCACGAGGGGTTTCCTCTGCTAGCAGGAGGGCTCCACGCTGCTCTGCATGCTTCAGCACCCGGCCACCCTGTCGGCCTGCTCCGGCACGGCCCCAAGGACGGACAACACAAGGCCACGCGGCCACAGGAGGCTGCTCCAGCAGCGTCACCCCCGGACACATAGCGTCCGCCTGTCCCCACAACCTTAGTCACCTCCCCTGCCCAGAAAGCCACATTTTCCCGCGGCTTGAGCCCTGCAAGTCCCTCTAGGGGCCACGTTAGCATACAGGGCGCCAGATCCCGAGCCCCGCGGCGCACCAGCTCAGAGAGCCACGCGGTGTGCTGAGTCTTACCTGAAGTGTCCCACAGGCTCAACTCTATTCTTTGTGTGTCGATTTCAAAACTGGCTGTGTAATTCTCAAACACCGTAGGGACGTAATTCTGGACAAACGAAAGGACAGAAGAGGAAGGAAAGGTGGCAAAGGGATTACTAAAAACGCGACATGCATTGAACACTTTATGCAAAATACCCGAAGCCCCCAATTTAAAAAACAAAAACAAAAACAAAAACCTCACACTCCCTACACACTAAACACTCAGCTCCCTCCCGAGAGGCCACCCGGGTTTCCCCACCCGGCTTCCCACACTGGAACCAGCAAGTTTCGGGGGCCGAGAGCCCAGGGTGCTGGCACGTCCCAGCCCAGAGGCTTCCAGGACACTTTGCCTTCCAAGCTGTGCGGCGGTGGAGACCGGCTTGGCCTGAGGAGGACTTTGAAGAGGAAAATCACAGCGAGCGGAGCTCTCTTCCAGACTGGGGACCCCACCGGCCGCTCCCCTCAAAGCTGTGCGGGTCACACTCACTTCGGGGAAGCAGTCCTTTGCGAAGACGTGAAGCAGCGCTGTTTTCCCACACTGGCTGTCGCCCACTACTACTATCTTGCATTTCACGTTCTGATTAGGATCCATGATAGATTTACTGGATAATTTCTGGCTGGCTCTTCTCTCCTTCATTGATGTTGCCTTATTTTCTCTTGAAACAGGAATTTTCTCTTTAGAAGAAAAAAATATATATATTTACGTCTCTCTATAAAAAGCAGATAAAAAAATAAATCGCAAGGCCGGTGGGAACCCCTTAAGCGTAGCGCAGTGGAGGAGAGGCAGCGGCTCTTAACTCCCCTCCAACAAGTTTTCTGCCTGACTCCGCGCCTCTCCTCCCAAGTCCAATTCCAGTCGGTCTGCTTTGTTTCACGCTCTCTGCGCGGCTTTATACGCCCTGCCTTCCAATCCCCTCTGCTTTCTCAATGAGAGAAGGAAACTGATCCGCCTCCTCCCCTTTTATGGAGCCTGGGAGCCAGCGCGGTCGTCTCGTTGGCGGAAAGTGTAGGCAGTGCGCCCTCTAGGGTAGTGTGCAGGATGGCTCGCAGACCCAGGTTCTGGCATAACCAGAAGGCTTCAGGCGGGATTTGCTGGTGGACAAACAGTTCAGGACCAGGTTGAGGGGGAAATGGATATCTGTGCACACGAACTTGAGCTGGAATTCCTTGCAAATTGCTTTCCAAGGGGCATGTCTCCAAGAATCTCCGTGATCATTTGTGAAAATAAAAAATATTTAACACTCAAAGCCTAATCCTGAAACAGAAGTAAGTCTTGAATAGGAAAAGACCAAGTGTTTATACCTATACACATAAAATAATATTTTTAAAAAGGTTGTTTTAGGTCCATAACGTTGATGATGGAACTTTTGCAAACCGGGCTACCTCAAACACCACAACCGGTTTTCTGGATCTTTGGAGAGGACTGGCTATTGAAAGTTCTCAGTTTCAGCCTTTCCAGAAGAGGCAGAAGGCTTTGGCAGATGGACAAAGCAAAAAAGTGGAGGGGGCAGGAAAAATGAGTGATGACAAAAACTAATAGAACCAGGTGTGTAATTGCTCTTCAGTACCTTCAGCTGTAGCCTCCAGCCCCCTAGAAGCAAGGCACTCCACACTGGAGTTAGAAGGCACACAAGCCCATAGTTGAAAACTCAGGGACCCTGCTCCTCCACATTCATACCCCAACCATTCCAACTCTTCCTTACAGCAAATTCAGAAGGGGCAAAACTAGAGACCTCACTTGTTCTCTTGTTTTCCGAGGACAGTGTCTCCATTGCCTATGTAACCCCAATGGCCAGGAGAATTCCATTATTACATTTGTAGTGAAGAGGTCTGGGAAGATAGTTCAGTCTGTAAAATACTTGTTCTTCTGCAAGCATGACTTGGGTTCAGGGAATTGTGCATAGAGGCACTCCTGTAATCCCAGAACTGAGGAGGCAGACTCAGGGGATCCCTGGGGCTTGCTGGCCAGACAGTCCAAGCAAATCAGGGAACTCAAGATTCAGTGAGAAACCATGACTAAAAATAATATAAAGAGCAACTAGGAAGATGCCTAGTGTCAACCTCTGGATTCCACACACATAAACACACACACACACACACACACACACACACACACACACACACACACACCTCACACATAATACTTTATGGAAACTTCCAGGCTTGAAATAAAAGTTGAGGATTAAAACAAAAAGTGTGGTGCCTAAGTAAACAGTGAATTGCTAAGATTATGAATTCAGGGGACCCCAATGCTATCTTACTTCTTTCAGAGCTGAGAACTTTGGATCCTCCCTCTAAAGGATAAACCTGACTCTTGTCATGGTTAGGTCTGTTTCACACAGGATAACCATGGAAAGGGGAAGGATTGCCAAAGTTTGTATGGCTGCACTTGCCAAAATTTGCTCAGAAGAGCTGTGTTTCCTTCTTCACATAGCTCATGGAGGAAGCACTGCCCAGTATCTTTTGAAGACTTATTATACACTTTGCTGTAACAGAGGGGACAGTACCTTATGTAAACTTAATGTAGTTGAACCTATATTAAACCTTATTAGAGTCCAATGTAACATTTCCCTAATCTAACTAAATGCAGGAGACATCTATCAAGTTATTTGTTTGGTGGAGAAGCAATGGGCATCAAAGTGGCGGCGTGCTATCAGAAAGAGGTATATGTAAGCCCTGGGGTTCATGTCTCTTGACTAAGGGACATTGGAGCAATTATTTCACTTCTGTAAGCCTCAGTTTCATCCTCTTTAAAATAGGACTCATGGTAGCATTTGTAAGGAAATGCAAATGAAGTTTGGAGAAGAGTCTATGGTACAATAGGAGCTCTGCCCTTATTCGGTATTTCTCTATAGCTTCCACTTGCTCTTCCGAAACCAAGATACATATCTTGGTGAATCCCGGATTCATTAATCAACTTACTGATAGGAAGTGGGCAATCCTGTCTTTTCTCCTGCTTTTAACCATGACACATCCTCTCTCCAGAGATATGTCTTGACCTTCTACATTCCTGAAATGATGTAGTTTATATATAAAGTCCCTTTAACTAGAACTCATTATTAGTTATTTTGAATTGACTCAATGAACTGGATATCAGATAATTTATCAACTAAGCTATATCTGAGAACAAAGTGAGACACCACCAATGATACAGCAGACCTCCAGTTATAAGGAGTTTACTCCACCAAATAGTAGTATAGTCTCTTCCCCAGGGAATAATCTAGACTCATAGTGGATAGCTATTTTTGGAGACCAGGTGACCTGAATCTGCAGAACCCTGCCAGCTGCTGGGTGAAATTTAATGGATATATGACTAAGTAGAAAATCAACTTCCCAAAGCCACCGGATATGAAAATTTCTAGGAATGAATAATTTCTTTTTTATCTTTTGAATTTATTTTTAACACCCCAAACATTTAGTTTAGCAATTATTTATTAGATGCCTGCTATCTGCCAGGCACTGTTCTAGGAGTTTTTAATGGGGTAGTTGACACACAAATTTCTGCTCCCACAGAACATACACTTCAGGCAGTGCTCAGGAAAACATACGGAAGAGAGAACACAAGTCAAAATGAATGTATTAAACTCTGAAAGAAATGCAGGATCCAATCGTGTTTGTGTGGAGATGGAGGAGGAATCAGCCATGAACAGGTCTTACAGAAGGCTGCTCCAAGCTGGGACACACAGCAGAAAGGTCATAAGGAGGGTGAGTTTGGCAGGTTTGAGGAACAGAAGGAGAGCCAGACTGAGATGCACTGAAGTAAAACCTTCAGGAGTAGGAGATCCCTGGAAGGGCGGGGGCTGAGTAACTGGTCTTAGAATCTGACTATTCTAGGAAGGGCCACATGAAACCAGTCACAGGAGTACTTGAATCAGGGTCACGGCATGAATACCCAAGTGAACAAACAAGCAAACGGATGACTGGGGGTCTGCATCTGCTCCTGTCACTAGCTGGGTATCCTGGATGAAACCTTCATCTTCACTGAGCATATTGGATACAAACGTACCTTAAGCTCCAGGACACACAAATATGCGAGAATGTAGTGAAATCTTTCCCCTAAGATGCAGACTCATCTGGAAGCTATGAAGCCCCATCTAGGGGATCAGCCCTCTTCCTTGTGCGGTTCTCCTTGCTAGTGTTTCTTTGTCTGCTGACAACTTTCTTACTGTGCTAGATTGTGGCGACCAAGAGAAAACAAACAGCAAACATTTCTATATGGTTGTGTTCATTGCACATATTCAGTTGCCCCAAATAGTTTGTGCTGAAACTTTATTCCTTTCTCTTCTGGCTAACCCTTTAACCTTTAGTACCAGGGACGTTGTCTTCCTTCCACAGCAAATGCACTCCTTTTAACAAAAACAATAGATGATTTCACATCAGGAGAGAGGACTGACAGTCCACATCTAGAAAAAACACAGATAAATGACAGTTCTGTGTTCTTTCTATCGGGAACTTGCATTTTAGTTCTGACTAACCCAGCATGCATACTGTCTGACCTTGGACAGTCTCTGCATTCTTTTTCTTACTTACATGAAAGGAGTCATCACTATGTAACATTGCACAATAAGGTTGTTTAGAAAATCACAGGCCCTACATAAGAAGACATTCCTCTTTAGAAACACACTGCAGACCACCCTGGCTCCACATTCCAAGCTCAGTGTGTTCACAGATATCTCACACAGATGTGCTCACAGTGTGATAAAGCATGATCCTACTGTTTATACAGAATACCTGTCCATCTTCAAACGTCAGCAGATGTGTTTGAAAATGTAGGGCACAGTGTGAAAAAAGCACAGGTCACCTGCAGACATAACCCAGGAGCAGAGAGAAACTGGACACAAAAACAAGAAAAGGAGCAACCTGCCCTCAAAGACATTATGTCAGAAAATATGGACATGACTCATAGGCATGCTCTCTGAGAATTTAGCAATGTGTTGGATAGTAAATAGTTCTCTGGTTGTGGGGAATAAAGGCAACAATATAGACACAAGCTTTTCTGTACTGAGCAGTGTTGATTTCATTGCTGTCTCTTGGGAAGTAATCAGAAGAGGGCACTCACTGGGCCAGCCTTACACATTAACAACATAGGAACATTTTGGGTTGTTTTTTTTTTTTCTGGAAAAAAGAATTGATGAATGAAAGTTCATGGTATTCAGTAGGTTAAACCTGATATTTGGGAAGAATTAATTCTCATCAATAGCAATCTTTCTCTTCAATTTTTTTTTCTTAAGAGTTCATCTATGTTCCCTGCCCGTGGGCACTGGCTAGTTGTCTAGGCTGTGTGATAAGAGTACTCCAGCCTGGGTTGAAGTAACTGGTCTTGTTTGTCCTCATTAATACTAATACAATTTACTGCTACCATGTGGATTTAGGCCTATCTGTGGCTAGAAGAAAGCACTGGCCTGTGAATGCTGAATGATTAGACACCAGCCAATTGATCACCCTTTTCTCTGTTCGAAAAAAAAAATCTGAGAAAGAACTTCTTGCCTTCTGTAGAGGCTGACATCATATACATTTGGGTCTATGGATTTTAGGGCACATATAATCCTTTCCAACTGCCTCTCCCTGATTTCAGAGTTTTCAATTGCTGGTGGGATTTGCTATAATTCAGTATTTCCCAAGAAAAGAAAATGAACAGCAGATTACTACAAAATCGTCAGCTTGTGCCAAATATTCAATTATACTTTGTGGCAGTTGGTAAATAGAATATAAAATATATATTTGAGAATGACCATTAGGAGAAAACAGTTTTAGCGAGTTCCTTTTAGATTGCTTTCTTTGAACAGAACATGTGGAAAGTTCTAGAGAAGTACCCTTTTGAGAGTTTTAGGTATAGTCAGAGGAAAGCAAAGGTTTTACTGTGAGCCTGGGCTTTGCTGTCGATCTCGGGAGATACACTGAGTGGGTTGTTGATGGCTATGTTAGTGATCAA